GTTCGCTTTCAATCGCCTTATGCTTTTTCTGCAAACCATTTTAATCTGAATAGCAAATTGAATATAATGGATTACAAATCTCTGTTCTAAATCTTAAAAGATCATTTATTCCTTGCGTAAGATCAATAAGTAAATAACCATGCGGTTTATTCGTGACTTCTTTATATATTCTAAAAAGTTCTTTGGGGTTTTCTGGATATATCTGTCTAGCTAAACATTGAAATTGTAATTTATCTCTAGGATTTTTAAATGCCACAATGTATTTTGTATTTAGTGATATGTCTCGGGTGTGCGTAGATTTCTGAAATATTTTTTGTGTTACAACAATTACAGATAAATTTCGATGATTAGATCCTTTGGTAAAAAGTTCACATACATTTTTATTAAATGCTCCCATCATCAAATCATCTAATACCAAAAGTATAGGTTCATTATTTTAATTTTCAATGGAGTCAGGTACCCCATGGTAATATTCAATATTGGTCAAATTTGGTTTCGCTTGCTCTTCACCGTAACACCATACTTATTATTCTATCTATTGAAGTACTTATTAAGTCCTTCCACAAATAAGCATCGTAAAAGGATGAACAAATTGTGTAAACATTTTGATAAAAGTTTTTTTGTTTATTTAATGTTAATTACCAAAAATAAATTTTTCTAATGATTTTTTTCCTGGTCCCGTTTTTCAGAGCAGTCCTACTCAAAATGAGTATCAGAACCACAATAGTTGCAGTATATAAGTTGACTGTATCCTTTTTTACGAGGATCTTTTCCAAAGATGCGATCCATTTTGCTAAAACAACTTCTCAATTAAAGTACTAAAATCATACTGTTTATTAAAGTAATTTATACATATGATTCTCCGTTATAGTATATATCGTAATTACAGTTTTCTAAAATTACAAAAAGCTTAAATAAATTATTTAGAGCACATCTAAGCTTAAGTTTTTTGTGAATTTTACAGTTGGTAAAAAAATTAGGATAACATGTCAGGCTCTTTCCTACATCTATATCGAAAATATTATTCGATAGAAACTTGGATAAAAATTCCTTTTTACTTCGCCACGTACAATTATATTGGAAAACTTGTTTAGTGGAGAAACTACATCGCTTAAGCAGTTATAGGGTATTTCTCCTTCCATCCAGTCCAATCCGTTAATGTTTTTTCGATGAATATTATGTTGTTGTAATGTATCATAATTTAACTTCTTAATGTTGTATGGAGGTTTGAAGTGAAACAGGTTTGGTATTACAGTTCCTCCAGGCATGAAGGCCAATTCCTTAACAAAAATTTGAATGTTTATTTCCAACAACATATTGAAAATCTACTATAACGGAATTTGATCTATCAAATTTAGTCATTTTAGAATGACTGACTTTGGTGTCTACATTTTAGGTCTTTATATACCATTCATTTTATTATATAATACATGCATTATGTAATATATAATATAAAAGTTGCCCTCTTATCTTAGGAGTTTGTATATATGGATATATATTTCATTTCATTATTTCATTATACATAATGTATAATAAATATTTATATATGTTACCGCCGTCATAGAATTAAGTTTATATTTAAAAAACGAAATCGTTAAAATTAGTGTTGAATAATGTTTAGAATAAGTTTTGAAAAACGCTAGACGTAAGCTTATCGATATACGGAAAAATGGCGGAAGAACGAGGCGTTTGCGATCGCTAGGTGAAGCTAACGAGGCGAGGGAAAACGACGATGTTATTTTTAGCTCTCTCTCGCGCGCCATGATTTGAGTTTAAATAAAGGAAAGAACAACCAAATCCATGTTTGCTTAAAAAATCGTGCACCAACCTCGCCCCGACCTCAACATTTCTAAAAAACTTCCTCCAAAACTTCGTTACCTGCGGATTAAGGCAGAAAAACAGCGTCAGTCGGAGGCGACAAATTTTGGAAGTAACAAAAGTGAAGGCGTCGCGTCCCTAGCAGCCAAGGCTAGGTTGAGTTGAGCACGCCATTCTTGGGGAAAACCAGAACTCTTGCGGATAAAGGCAGATATAAGGCGTCGCGACCCTAGCAGCCATAGGCTAGGTCGAGTAAGCACGCAGTGAAGAAGAAGAAAAGCAGACGCCATATTGCACGCACGCCGGACGACGCGAAGCATGAACATTGAGGTGTGCAGAATTTGCGAGAACAAAAACGAAACAGCGTCAGAAAATTGGGTGCAGTGCGACGTTTGCGGAAGGTGGTACCATTTCGAGTGTGCCGGCGGAGAGGACGACATTGAGAGCAAGGATTGGAGCTGCGATTACTGTCTTGCGGGTTTGCAGCCACATAGCACCGTTTAGCGGTATGCAACGATCACCAGTACAGCCTCAAACACGTGAAGACGCAATGGATACCCCTGAACCGCACGGCAAAGCGCTAGCCGTCGATACGCTAATCGATACTGCCGGCAACGGAAAGAACATGAATGTTCGGAAAGGCAATCCGGACATGAACAAGAACCAACTCTTGTTAGATATGCTCAAGGAGAAAAGACAGTCTGAGGCAAAGTTCATAGAAGAAAAGTACAAAATTCTCATGCGGATGAACCCCGCTGACGTAGCGGTAGCTGGGATGTTTCGAGCCACAGATTCACCTAAAAGTACTTAAATAGCGGCCCGGCAAGCTATACCCAAGGACCTTCCAACATTCAGCGGGGATCCTGAGGACTGGCCGTTAATTATCAGCACATTTAAACACAGTACGACAGCAGCGGGATATACGAATGTGGAAAACATGCTACGTCTGCAAAAGTCGCTTAAAGGGAAAGCTCGTGACTTGGTTAGAGATAAACTCCTACTTCCTAACCAAGTCCCAGAAGTCATCAGCACTTTGAAGATGTTCTTCGGCAGACCAGAGCACATCCTAGAAAGAATGGTGGAAAAGGTGCGAAGACTGGCGCCACCCAAAGACAGATTGGAGGCGTTAATAGAGTACGCGCTGGCAGTGCGAAACGTCTGTGCTACTATGGAGGCGTGCGATCTGAAGGCGCATCTCAACAATCCAATGCTGGTCAAGGAGCTGGTAGATACGCTTCCCAACCAACACAAGCTAAACTGGGCAATGCAACCCCGCGACGATAGAGTGGCCGCAGTCAAGGCGTTCAGTGTTTGGCTGTATAAAATCGCAGAGGCAGCGTCATTAGTGGTGGCGCCATCGTTTTACAAAACGGGCGCAGTTAATTCCCACAATAGTCGCCGCCACCAGCACGAGGACAAACACGATCGAACGCGATCCATACTGAAGCAGCTCAGCAGCAAGTTCAACAGAGGTGCGTAGCTTGCGGCGACCCGAGTCACAACCCAGCACATTGTCAGGTATTCTTGAACCTTGACGCGGAGCACAGGTGGCAGGTAATCAGAGCGGGTAAAGCCTGTTTCTGCTGCCTCAAGGTACACCGGAACAGATGCCGAACCGGGAACTGTGAAATTAATGGAGACACCATGAATATGTTCCTAACACAATCGGCCAAGACAGACAACAGAGTCACGTGAGTACGCACCGAGACGACAACCACGGATGTCAGTTCTTTCGCATCATTCCAGTCAAGCTGCATTACGGCAGCAGGCAGACTGAGATCTACGCCTTTCTAGATGAAGGATCATCCGTGACCTTAGCAGATGCATCCGTATTCCAAAGATTGGGAATACAAGGCCAGGCAGCGCCAATGTGTTTGCAGTGGGCCGCACAGACGACTCGACTCGAGAGTGGGTCCGTGAAAGCATCCGTCCAAATCTCGGAAGTGAACTGCGATAAGGTTTACTGGTTGAACAACGTCCAGACCGTTCAGAACCTAGCATTACCGAGACAGACAGTCAACATGAAGGAGCTATGCGAAAGATTCCAGCATTTGAAAGACTTGCCGCTACGGTCCTACTCTGCCCAGCAGACTTTGCTAATCGGAACTAATAACTGGAAGCTAGCAGTCCCTCGCAAGATCCGCGAAGGAAAATGGAACGAGCCGATAGCATCGAAGTGCATGCTAGGATGGAGCATCCAAGGATCGGCGAACCCACAACGATCCATTTTCATGCACCACTGCGACTGCGACTGGCAAGAACTCTATGATGACATCAAGGAACATTTCAACCTTGATGCACTCGTACCACGAAAGCTGTACTCAGCTGAAGATGAGCTGGCAGCGAAGATACTGGAAAACACGTGCCAAAAGAAGTCCGGAAAATATGAAGTTGGACTTCCGTGGCGCGGTGGTATCGACAAACTCTCTGAGAGCCGGAGAAACGCTCTGAAGCGGCTTACTTGCATGAGGATAAAGGTCTCTCAAGAACCAGATCTGTATGAAAAGATTGACGCCCAAATCAGGAACCTCCTAGACAAAGGATACGCGGTTAAGCTATCCGAGGATGAAACCAGCCGGGAGAACAGCCGTACATGGTATCTGCCAATATTCATAGCGCTGAATCCAAACAAGCCGAAAAAGATAAGGCTCGTATGGGATGCAGCCGCAAAGGCACACGGACACGCGCTAAATGACTACCTACTCAAGGGACCAGATTGCCTGAACCCACTCATAGATGTCTTGCTAGCCTTTCGGGTCAACAAAATAGCGATTTGTGGTGACATTGCGGAAATGTTTCACAGGATCAACATTCGCGAGGAGGATATGCAGGCGGAGCGATTCTTCGATTCATTGGGATTTTTATCATGCCAGACGATTGGACTAAAAATACTTCTCCAGTGCATATGGCGGCAAAAATTGAATGGGATCAGGAGCTACCTGAGAGAATTCTAGAAGAATGGCGCCAATGGAAAACCATTTTGCATGACATAAGGACTTTCGAGGTCCCTAGATGCTTTTCCCCAGCCACATCGGAGCCATGTCAAATTGGACTCCATACATTCGTCGACGCCAGCGAGCACGCATATTCTGCAGTCTGCTACTTGCGTCGACAGAGTCGTCGTATCTTTGGTGATAGCGAAATCTAAGGTGGCACCTTTAAAACCACTTTCGATTCCGCGTATGGAGCTGCAGGCAGCAGTTATGGGAGCACGTTTAGCCCAAAAGGTGATGAGCACACGCAACCTACGAATTGACAACGCCACATATTGGTCGGACTCCAAGACAGTGTTGAAGTGGCTAACTATGGACCCCCGCAACTTTCATCAGTTCGTGATGCACAGAGTCGCCGAAATTCTGGAAACAACACTGGTCGAGCAATGGCGGTGGATTACTTCAAAGCTGAACTTGGCAGATGGAGCTACCAAGGTCACCGGGCAAAACCAACAAGAGACGTGGATATCGGGCCCGGAGTTCCTGAAGACCGATGCGAGTAACTGGCCAATATCCAAGAAGCAAGAGAGCATCATCGATAGCTCGGAGATCCGGAAGCATGTGACGACGCATACGAAATCAGTGGTTATGTTCAACGCGAACTATTTCTCAAATTGGCGGCGGTTATACAGAGCAGTAGCGCTAGTACTCCTGTTTATCGATTGGCTGCGAGCGAAATCTGCCGGACAAGATATGCCAGCAACCACGACAATGGCTCATGTAAGCAAGGCAAAGATGCTGCTATACAAGCTATACAGGCGATCTCAATCCATCGCCTTCGCAGCAGAACTAAAAACGTTATCCCCGGAAACGGCGCTCCTCTAGGGAAGCAGATTGGCCGGATTGAACGCATACGTGGACAACGATGGAGTACTACGAACAAGAGGCAGATTGAACGCAGTTGACATAGCTGAGGACGCCATCATACTAAATGTAGCTCATGGATGCCGGATATCCGACCTCATAGTTAGGAGCTTCCACGAAAAGTATCACCATCTCGCTCACGAAACTGTAATAAACGACATCAAAAATTCGTTTTATATCAGCCGGCTACGAGTATTGCACAAATCTGTGAGAAACACATACCAACGATGCAAGATCGACAGAGCAGTTCCCAGACCACCCCAGATGGCACCGATCCCGAGGGCAAGAGGTGGAAGCTTCGAGAGGCCGTTCACCTATACAGGCGTTGACTATTTTGGCCCGTTATTGGTGAACGTCGGCCGTCGCAAAGAGAAGAGTTGGGTAGCTCTGTTCACCTGTCTTACGTTGCGCGAGGTGCATTTTGAGATCGCGTACAGTCTAGATACTAGTTCATGTATCATGTGCCTACCCAATTTTATGGCCCTTCGAGGGACACCGAGGGAGATATTCTCAGACAACGGTACAAATTTCAGAGCCACGGAAAAAGCCGTGCGCGAGGAGCTGAAAAAGATCGAGCACGATAAGATCACTATTAAGTTCGACGGCATAAAGTGGCGATTCAACCCATCAGGAGCACCGCACATGGGTGGAGCATGGGAGAGACTCGTCCGGACAACGAAAGGAATCTTGAAGAACATTTGCCCAAGTTACTCTTTCAACGACGAGGGGTTGAGAAACGCACTGATGGAGGCGCATTTTATCATCAACTCGCGACCTCTCACGTTCGTAAGTTTGGATTCCGAGGATGACGCTGTCCCGACTCCAAACCACCTGCTGCTAGGATCAGCGAACGGATACGCTGATACCTTTCAGCAAAAGGTACCTCAATCACCATCGGAAGCTTTATTAAGCGTCGCTCCACCACCACAAACTTATTGGAGTTGACATCCTTTGTCATAGATGGCTTTTGTAAGGGATATCAAACCGATGTAATTTACACAGACTTCAGCAAAGCATTTGATTCAGTTAATCACTCACTCTTGTTGAGTAAACTGAATATACTGGGTTTTCCTAAAGACCTCTTAACGTGGATCTCCAGCTACCTAGATGGAAGGACACAAAGAGTCTTATTTAAAAACATACAGTACCGTCTGGTCCGTGCTACATCCGGCGTCCCTCAAGGAAGTCATCTTGGCCCGTTATTATTTACGCTTTTTATAAACGACTTGCCCCCTGCTTTAACGAACTCTCTAGTTCTTATGTATGCGGATG